CTTTCCCTCCATTCTTTCCTTCCTTCATTCTTCCTTCCTTCCTTCCTTCCTTCCTTCCTTCCTTCCTTCCTTCCTTCCTTCCTTTCTTTCTTTCTGTGCAGATCTGCATGTTCCCCCCCCCCCATAGCTAGCAATCCAAAAGAGTCCAGTGGCACCTTTAAGACCAAGGTTTATTCAGGTACAAACTCTCCCTCCTCTGTGAGGGCAGATCTGTGACCATACTTCTGGTAACATGGGGTGTGGTCTAATATGCTAATGAGCTGCACTGTCAGGGACATGGCCTAATTATGCTAATGAGCTTCTGCTGTTGGGTGTGGCCTATTATGCTAATAAGTCCCTGCTGGGCTTTTTCTACAAAAAGAGCCCTGGACTTTCTGCCATTAGAGTGGTATCATCTGCATATCTGAGGTTGTTGATGTTTTTCCTATCAATCTTAATTCTGGCTTGTGATTTATCCAGGCTAGCATTTTGCATGATGTACTCTCCATATAAATTAAATAAGCAAGGGTACAATCATTGTTGTACGCCTTTTCCTATGCTAAATCAATCTGTTGTTCCATATCCGGTTCTAACTGTCGCTTCTTGGCCCTTATACAGGTTCCTCAAGAGACATGTGAGGTGGTCTGGTACTCCAATCTCTTTAAGGACTTGCCATAGTTTGTTGTGATCCACACAATCAAAGGCTTTAGCATAGTCAATGAAGCAGAAGTAGATGTTTTTCTGGTACTCTCTTGGTTTCTCCATAATCCAGCGAATGTTGGCAATTTGATCTCTAGTCCCTCTACCTCTTTGAAACCCAGCTTGTACTTCTGGCAGTTCTCTATCCACGTACTGCTGAAGCCTAGGCCCATTTGACTTCACATTCCAGGATGTCTGGCTTGATGTCAGTGATTACACCACCATGGTTGTCAAGGACATTGCGATCCTTCTTGTATAGTTCTTCTGTGTATTCTTGCCACTTTTTCCTAATCTCTTCTGCTTCTGTTAGGTCCCTACCATTTTTGTACTTTATCCTGGGCAGCTTTGCACGGAATGTTCCTTGATTTCTCCAATTTTCTTGAAGAGATCTCTAGTCCTTCCCATTGTATTGTTTTCCTCTATTACTTTGCATTGTTCATTCAGGAAAGCCTTCTTATCTCTCTTTGCTGTTCTCTGGAAATCTGCATTCAGCTGTGTAAATCTTTTCTTTTCACCTTTGCCGTTCACTTTCCTTCTTTCCTCTGCTATTTGTAAAGCCTCATCAGACAGCCACTTTGCTTTCTTGCATTTCTTTTTCTTTGGGATGGTGCTGATTGCTGCCTCCTGTACAATGTCATGAACCTCCATCCATAGTTTTTCAGGCACTCTGTCTATCAAATCTAGTCCCTTAAACCTATTCT